ACTAAACAAAGTAGTTGTTAACAGGAAAATATAAGGACGACTCATCATCTTACCAGCTAACTTGAGCATTTAAAATATGAAATCGAGCAAAATATACTTTGAAACCTTCGAATGTCAACAGCATAAGGACACAGGGAGCCCAATCTCTGAAAAGTTCAACTAGTATCCACGAGTTCGCCAAAGGGCGGTATGTTGCTCCGCTATAAACAAAGTACAGAACTATTTTTTTCTTCTCTGTGCACGGTCAACGTCATATCGATAAAGTCAAGCAAAAACATAGAAAAATAGGTTTCCCAACCATTCCGCTCCATTAACAATGTTCGTATTGCTCCTGTGTGGGTCTGGGATGAGTTTGAGACCAATCCGTCCGCCAGTATTCAACGAGTAATACTGCTAGTCACTTTTTTAGTTGACTTGTCTCACAGCATCTCGTACGAAATAGGCTGGAAATCACTTCCATTTTCTTGATAAGTCTCTACTTTTGTATACGCATGATACTTTGCGGCTTTGGGGGTAATCAATGGGGAAAAAACGCATTTTACTGAAGGCTGATCAGACAATGTTGAAAGTACCTCTGTGATATGCAAATATAAAAAGAAATGGTAACAAACAGAAAGAAATAGAATCTTTAAGAAGTTGAAAGTAAATTTTAAATATTTCTTCGTAAGCCAATACCTTTTTATGTAACACCAAACTTGTGTGATGTTCTTGACGGTGGAAATCAMCTAATTGGACTGAACTAATAATCAGTATTTAACAGACAAAAGCAAGTGTAGTGTATATCTAATTTAAGAACATTTCATTTTGGGAATTTTTTTTCTGATTGTTGCACCCCGCCAAGGCGCAAAGCATGCGAAAGTAGAGAATTAAACTAAGGCAATCTTCGGTCCTTCAAACTATTTTTGTCTGCACCGAAATATCGGATTTTGTACGTAAACCACCACAGCTATTAGCCACTTGGCGGACAGCTCAAACCAAAGTTATGGCAAGAATGCAAACGGTAGTCAAAATGTGAGCTCGTCCCAGAGGTACAAGCGTTTTTTTGTAGGTGAAGTTTAGAAACCCGACCAGTTTCATCGGCCTTGTTATTACTGCTAGATTTTTACTGCCATCATGATATAATTATACATTCAAGCTTTCAGCGAGGTTTTATGAAATTTTGGCAGCCAAAATTATTTCATGCATATGTACTATAGCGTACAGTAGACCTTTTTACTAATACGGCGGCTATCTTGAATTCCATTGTTTTAAGTAAGAAGTTATGGGATGCCGAGGGGACGACTATTAGATAATTGTTAGACTGCATACCTTTCAGGGTGTCTTTTATGTTTTATATAACTTTACGTTATCAAGAGAATATTAAGTAAGAGAGCACATCTCCCATACATGGGTCTGTAACCATGAAAGTTTCTTGAAAATCTATTTTTAGCTCCGCGCGCAAGGCTGAGCTATTTTTAGCATGCCRCGATTCCTGATAGCTCAGAGTTGTAGTGACTTCAATGCGAGCGAAAAATGTTTAGTTCCCGACGAGAAAAATGCCTTCAAAATCAGTAAAAAGTTGAAATAAATAAAGTATCATGTGTTCTTCATAGACGAATTAAACATTAATTTTAACTATTGACGTAAAAGAACATCGAAAAAGATCAAATCAGGATGATTTTCAGTATACGAACAAGGCCGAAAACCGCGAAGACGCCATGGGGAAGAAAACCGCGATAAGAAAAATGCGGTGAAAATAGCGAAAAACCTACAGTGAAGACGGCCAAAAAGCAATTTATCGTAGTGTTTTCTATAGTAAATAAAGTTTAAGTTAAAGTGATTAAGAAGACGATGAACAAGACCAGTATTTTGTTTCACACACGAATCAGAACAAACTTGCACCGAAATGTGCCGAAGAAAAAATTCTGTTTCACAGGGGAAAAAACTACAAGAGGCACTGAAATCTGAAATGATTTTTCGGTCAGAATATGAGAAAATGCCGATTAGATGTGTTGTTGCTGGGTGCTCAAACACGCCAGATTTTACGAAAGGTATATACTTGCATAAGATCCAATTTCATAACGACAATCGCTCAGAAGCAAAGATGGATTGATTTTGTGAAGAGAAAGCAAGCAAATTTCAACCCCTCGGCTACCTCCGTCATATTTTCTACACACTTCCTACCAGAGGATTATAATCAGAGATTTGATTTTGTCTCGTAAAATCGTCCTCAGTTAGTTAAAGATGAGGTTGGGACTGTTGCCATCCCAAGGATTTATGTCAGCAACCATGAAGAGCAAGCCAAACGCCTAAAAGTGTCGCTGGTCAAATCTCCAGGAATCTTTACTTGTTTGATAGTTCTAATTCTCTAATTTTGGTTTTCAAACTGTTTAAATTACCTATTTTCCTAAGATTTTTAAAAGATGCCGTTGCCTCCGTGTCTTCACCGAAAGAAGTTGAGTTGCCGGTGCGAGAAGTAGTCGAACAACAACAATAATTTTAATCTAATACAACATTTGGTGGCTAGTTGTAGGGAAAAGTATTCTTTATTTAAACATAACATATACTATACTTTATTTGTTGTACCTAAATTGTGTCAGTAAAAAGTATTACTGAGCAAAATATTGACTAGTTTTATTATTGCATGCATCTTTCGTAATATCTACAACATAGAATGATAATAAAGTCAAACTTTATAACCCAAATTTACAAAACACTTCTACTTTGAGGTTTTTTTCATTTTTTATTTTTTATTTTTTCCTTGTTGTTTTTGTTTTTGTTTTTGATTTTTTTTGTTTTGTTTTTTTCTTGTTTTTGTTTTATTTATTTATTTTGTTTTGTTTGTTTGTTTTTTTTGAGGAGGGGTGTTGAAGTCCTATTTTTAAGTAACTATAAAACTGGGGCCAGCTATAAACAATGAAAGAAACTAGCATGAAACTAGCTTTCTCAGTTTTATTTCTTTTAGCTTTTTTGAGATGATAGTCATGATCGGTAATGAGCTTTGCAATGTCGGAGGTTAGCCAGGGCGAGGAGGGTCGACTTGTTCTGCGAGTTTTAATAGGGGCATGACTGTCAGCAACGTCAGTAAATAATTTGTTCCACACATAAACACAGTCGTCAACATTTTCAGGATCAGCAAAAGCTAAATGCCAGGGAACAATCTTTAGATCTCTTAGGAAAGCATCCTTATTTTATTTCTTGTAAGATCGAAACTCAAAAGTCTTAGGTGGAGTTTTGATGACTCCAGATTTGAGAACACAATATATTAAGAAGTGGTCACTCAAGCCAATTTCAAAGGCTTGAAAGACTCCCTGTTCCTTTATTTTATGCATTATGTTAGTAAAAATCAAGTCAATTAGGGATTGTGTTTTTTTAGCGATGCGAGTCGGAGAATCTATGATCTGGCAAAGATCATTGTCATCTGCTATCAGTGACTTGAGTTTCTTTTTTTGCAGAGAATTAGCATTTTTTCTGAAATCTACATTAAAATCACCAAGTAATATTTTGTCGTAATTTGGATGAATATCGCTTAAAGAATTGTTTAAATTGTCAGTAAAGTTATCAATTTCCTGGTCTGGTGGTCTGTATATACATACAACAACAAGCGGTTTACAGTTCTTGCGGGTAATTTCAATCCAGACAGATTCGTTGTCATTCTTGAGGTTTTCCTTCTCAACGAAAGGGAAACCATCTCTGCAATATATAATTACTCCTCCACCAGTCTTATTTAAGCGATCGTTTCTGATGCAGCTATATCCTGGGATGTTTATTTCTTCGTCAGACATTCCGGGATGAAGCCAAGTTTCAGAGAAAGTTAAGATGTCAATGGGTTTTGAAGCATTGCGTAAGCGTATTTTCAGTTCTTCAAGTTTCGTGCGTAGGCTTCTAACATTCAGATGGATAGCCGAAAGAATACTTTATTTGATCTCAAAACTTGGTTGAGGACCTGGTTGAGGGCATATGTCTCTGGACATCAGTAAAAGCATAGATGACCAAAAACATACTTTCGATAGATAAATGAAGTTTAGGGCTTTTACTCCTGATGATACTGAAACTCCATGTACAGTTCGACGTTGCAAGCCAGAATTTCTTGTTGGGTAGTGTTTTTTGTCCATTCCAGCAGAAATATGAATAGCACTAACTTTGTAATTATCGTCGTTAGACTTTAGAAAATCCAAATAAAATTTAAAAGCGAGTAAAAGCGTTAAAATATCGGAGGTCTTATAAAGACGACCGCACGCCATGGTTCTTTGCACTCTCCAAACCTCATGACAATCCTTTGGTATACCTGTGGATCAAGCATCCACTCAGTACGGTCATTAAATTGCCTAGATTCAGTGTCAGCTTCGGTGTTTTCTTATCCTGGCAAATGTGTTGAACTAAGCCAGTTTTTGTTCGTAATAATAAGTTCCTAAATTTGCTTAGTTATGGAGTTACATGGTATGGAGCCACTTCCGCCCATATTATTAATTTGATATACGGCAGTGGTATTGTCACACTGCACTTGAATGTGTGTGTTAGAGCATGTACCACATAATGCTTTCAGAGATAGGAATATACCCAGTAGCTTCAAGTAGTTAATGTGGTTAGATGCTTCCTCAGGGGTCCACCTTCCTCCTGTTCTCTTATCACCCTTCACCCCTCCCCTCCCTTGGGAAGAGGCATCTGTTTGTATGACCATATCAGCTTTACCATGARATATAGCCTTAAAAGCTGTGGGTAAGTGATCAGCCCACCACTGTAATTCTGCTCTTGAATTGGCAGATAAGGACATTGAGGCAGAGAAATCTTCTTTATTGTGTCTCAAAGCCTTAGTTTTGTCAGACTCCAGGCTGCGGTAATGTAATGGGCCATATTCTATGCCAGGGAAGCTGGAAACCATTAACCCTATTACTTCCGCTAGGCTTTCGATTATGCAATGGGGTTTGCGAAGGAGCTTCTGACATGCATTTATAACTTTCAAGGTTCTGGCATGAGTAAGCTTAACAGTCATTTTGATAGAATCCAGGTCAAAATCCAGATATGTAAGTTGCTGTGAAGGATTTAAATTGGACGTTTCTTACTGAATAATAAATCCCAGGTCCCTGAGAAGCTTAACTGTGGTAAGGGCATTGTCACTGCATTAATGGTAAGTGTCTCCTTGGAGGTAAACATCATTAATATAAGATGGTGACAAGAAACCCTTTTCTCTGAGCACTTTAAACACAGGTTTAAGTGGTTTAGTAAATATTATAGGTGCAGAGCTAAGCCCATTAGGCAAGCAAACATATTGGTAGAGTTTATCTCTCCACACGAACCTCAAAACATTTTGGTGCTCTTGGGCAACAGGCACTATATAGTAGGCATCTTTTATGTCCACTGATGCCATATAACACCCTGGGGTCATAAGGTCTAGAACGGAGCCCAGTGACTCCATCTTAAAGTGCTTGTAAACTATAAATTTGTTCAGATCTTTAAGGTTTAGGATCATTCTTTAATCAACCCCATTCCTCTTTAGTCTAAGAAATATTAGGGATAAAAACTCTCCCTTTGAGCGAGAGCACAGTTGTATAACCCCTTTGTCTTGGAGCTTATCAATTTCCCTGTCAATAATTGATGACTGTGAGGGATTAAATCTGGTGAGTTTGTGGCCACCAGACTGAACAGGTTCTATGCCATCAGTGAATTCAATATGACAGTGCTGAACCCAATCTAGTACCTTTGAGTTCTGAGTAAGAGGTTATTTCATTCCATGTGGGTACAAACTCTTTCAATCTGCCTGCTTTGAATTAGATGTCAGTATTGCTTACCTCAGAAGAGGATGCTTAGGGATGTTTTGGCCCTATTTGTGTTGCTTCTTCTCTGTTCTTGTGTTTAAATTCTGACCTGAAGAGTACTTGTAGCCAAACCTTCTGCCCCTTGTGCTTTTGTAGGACTTGTTATAACCTTGGCCTTTGAAAGATTCTGACTTTGGATCATTCTTGCTGATTCTTTTGCTAACTTTAGTAGCTTCTGCCAAGTCTTTGAGCTGTTTGGACAGGTCTGGGTCATCCCCAAATAAATACTCAGTGAATGGTACAGTGAGAAAACATAAATGCTTGTAGTCAGCATTAAACTCAGGCTTTATGCTATCTCTTCTTTGCATTTAAGTCCAAAATTGACTGCTCCAATTAGGGCTACAGCATCTGAGGCTGTTTTAATGAGGTTGGCAATATCTAGTGTCTCTGATGGTATCTTGTCCTGAACTTTCATCAATCTCATAAAATAAACCATAAGAAGAAACAAGATACGATCGGTAAACACTGAAAAGCGAGCGACTTTCCGTAGCCCGTTGGCAAGTTTACGAACACTTTTCCCTTTTCAAARAATGCTTTGATGGAATCTTGTTGCTCTTGAAAAATRTTTTCTATTTCAAACTGGTTCTTTACTTCTAAAAACGCTCTAGTCCGAARATCTTCATCAAAAGAATATGCCATTTTGAAAACTAGGACGCATTGCTCGTTCACATTTGTTTTGATAGTGTTATCCAATGGAAGTTCATGTTAGAATGTGCATTTGCCTAAGCCAATCAGAATCTATTATATATAATCGCGCAATTTGCGGGGGGTCCAGAACAAGCTCTCTGGCGATGTTTTGCAGACGGTATTTACGAAGAAAATTCCGGATGTGACGCAGGCTACCGAACAAGAATCAAATTTGAAATAGGCGACTTGCATTAAGAAATCTCGTGACTTCTTGTATGGCAAACGCGCGCTATGTAAACAAACTTCAAGATGGCCGCCGTCGCACCGGAAGGCGACAAAAACAAGTATAACCACTTACACGTAACTTTTTAGCTTTTTTCTACCAAACATTGGTATCTATGGAGTCTTCAAACATATTTTGGGTTTTTTTTTTATTAGTCTGAAAGAGAAATTTTTTGGGGTAAGTTTTTCACCAAATTCAAAGCCCCTTCGTAAACATTTCTCTTTCAGATATGGACGCCACGTACGATTCTTGTTATGACAAGTGGAACAACACAGGTTAACCGTCAAGATCAGTATCGCTGCTCGCCTTATATCATGAGCAATTGTAAGCAATTTTTTTT